TGAAACCCCCAAGGCAATTGCTACAGTACGTGTGAAGTTTACGGCGGGCTATGTAGACTAAACAGGACTAGCACAAGAAAAATGAAATATGCCGTTCGCTAAGGCTTAACGGGAACGGCCGGAAGTGGGTCAACAATATCAGCGGTGTATCGTCCTGTTTTATGATTGGGCACTAACTGTATACACCCGTCGACAAAACGTTTTTGCAGTATCTCCGTTTCTGAATGCAGTACTATAATCATTTTTAGTTATTATTAAATTAGTCAACTAGCGTCGGTTACAATCATCTCGAGGTCCCTATCCATGGAGCCCAACAGAACCTATGTGACCGAGTCTCCTGGTTATGGTTTTCATACCCTCGTGCCAGATCTTAGCCTGACCACCCTTGGCTTTATTCCATCTACTATCTGCCTAGGCGAACATCGCTCGCCGTGGCGTTCACGTCCTGCACAATCCATCTTCTGTTGGACATACGAGGGTACAAATGGTTGTTCCTAACCGCCAAGGTCATGCCCAGTCGGGATCAGAAATAAACCTCTTTCATCCACCCAATTGCTCCCACTTCCCCAAATTTGAATGAAATCACCCTCGTTCTGTGCATAGTTTTTTGTATCGTTAGTCCAGAAGAGAAGCGGTTAGCGTTCGCCGTTCTCAGCCACAGTTTGTTCTTTTTATCAGAGTTATTTTGGCTATCTGCTTTCCCCATATACCAGCTTATAGTAAGCGGCCTTCTCAAAACGACAGATTCAGTTTCATGCAGTTTTCATTTCGGAAATAAAGATCTTTGGCTTCCCAGGTGTCCACATTCCCAGGTGTTTCAAAAATCGACTGGCACCGGCTATGTCTATAGTCCATCTGACTTCTTCTCCCGACCGGCGGATCGGTTAACGTCACTTCCGGCTCCTATCGCTGGCAGATTGATAATGCTAGTTGTTACCTAACTCACGGGTATACCGTCAGTTCCTCACATCGCAACCGGAAAGCAGCTGAGGCTATTTGAGACGCTTGGTCGTTTGGGAACATTTCACCAGATGCAACGGAAGAGTAACTGGCCACAAGCTGAGGCATTCACCCTCGACCATGATGAGCTTTTTGGTTCTTTTTCTTCCATTCTGGCTTTGCTTTTCTCCTTTTATGTTTCGTTATGGCTCAAGAATATTTGTCACTAATCAGCAACATTGTGTCTTAAAAATTAGAACCATTCATTCCATTTTCCTATCCTAACTGTCTGTTGTTTCCTCCCTCTCTCATTCTTTTTCAGGTGCAACATCGACTCCTGTCCACCCCAACTCCGAATCCGGAGGGCTATTTGTGCGGCTTGGTGTACTTCGGGGTTAGGGAGTTCGAACTTATTTATTACAACAATTCGCACTCGGATCGATCTTCGACCGCAGCTACCGGTATGCTCTACCCCATTAATCAATTCAATTGCCCTGTTGGCGATTAATTTGTACTTTCAGACACACCAGTGACCTGTCTGATATCCGGTTTTTCACATGGACCGGCTCCGTTGGCATGGTAAGTTGGGTTGCTCTCTCTCTATATATATATATATATATATATATATATATTACGATAAGTGGTTTGTGAATGACCCGACGAAATTTCCCTGGAGTCACACGACCGGTTTCGCGGTTCTTGCTGCTTGTTAGACATGCGTATCCGGTAGTCTTTTGTCTTCTTATTTATAAACATGTGTATACGGTATTCTTTTGTCAGTTCGTTCATGGATATGTACATCTTAGTATGAGTCTTTCATGAAACCTTCATTCGTGAGAAACAGGAGGACGGTAGGAAGATTATTATAATCATTTTTATTATTAAAGACCTATCCGAAACATACAGGAGCTGTTGTACTGCTCACTAACCTGAATGGAAATAAAAGGTTAATTTACGATATTTCTAATCCCGAGTGCAGTGTACGTGACATAGGTTTAGGAAGCTTTGACCCAACAACTCATTGCAGCTGACCTCTAATCGATGCGCTCCAAATTTGCCAGTCTGTCAATAATTGGCGTTCTGACTTTTCGCTTCAAGAAATGAATTCTGTCCACGAAATTTTACTTCGTATGATCTCTGTAGATTGTCAGTATTCGAACATCGCTGTCTTCACCGCATTTCAAGAGTACGGTAAGGAAATCGGACATGGAATACTGACGGTTGGGAGCAGAGTTTCAAGTGATCGCGGTCACCCACCGGAACAATTACTTGACTTGCTCAGATTATGCTTACTGGAGCTTGTTACCCCTGTCTCCAAGTGATGGACGGATAGACGGGTCAAAACCACTGTCTAATCACCGAGACCTTATGCGCTTGCCTTTCTTAGTTCCAGGGCTAGGTTGCCGGCTACCTCTCATCTCACTATGAATAATACTACCACAAACAAGATCACTACTCAAGTTCACTCTCACTCAACAGCCACACTCACTAACATTCACGGCTTGAATCACAATATTGATTTTGTACATCACTTTCTTCAGTCAATTTCCCCGCATGGTTTATTATGATCGAAAACACAACTTTCCTCATCTAAAGACACCACTCATCTTCAGTTTTCCCAATTATTCTGTTCGCACTTCATTCATGCCCAAGGCTGGTGTTTTTTCATTTATCCATCATTCAATTACTTCTGCCCCGTTCTCCCGATTAAAACTTCACCAACCGCGATTTGCAGACTGTGACTGGAACTTCAGTTCCCTTCTTTCAATCACTATTTCTGTACTGTATATCGTTACCCAACTGGAAGTGTCCATTGGCTCAGTGATATTTGATCATCTAACATTTAGAGCATCGTTGAAGCAGACCGCAAAGGTCAGCACCCAATTTTTGGTAATTTTACCTCCCATTCTAGGGACATCGCTCTTTGAGGGTGAAGAAAAATCGTTTACTCTGTTGAACAAACGCCAACAATGAATTAACTTCCGACTGTGCCGGCGACCACGCTCACACTCTGGATCTTGTCCTCGTATTCAACACAGAAATATTCCCCAATATTAGCACAGTTTCTCCCCTGGGCTCATCAAACCACTGTCTTCTTCCTCTTTCTACCCACTTTATCCATTCCACTGTTTCTCTCACTTCCAGACGCACACTCATGCGCTATGGTTCTGCTCAGTGGTTTAGCATTCGTAAATTTCCGGTTTTCTATTCCTGGTATAACTGCTGGTTCTCCGCCAATGTTTTGATCGCGGTTTCAAAATCTTTCAAAGCTCTTTTGCAAGGCCTGCACAGCAGAGGTCTTGGTCGTTTGTCTAAGAGTACTGGATGCAGTTCAGCCGCCTCTTCATGAGTGGAATAGAATCAAGGGTTTCAGCCCCCCTTGAACGCGTTGGCTTCTTAATTACCATCGCAAGGATCAGTTGTTCACTCTCTCTCTCTCTCTCACGCTTCAGTGGAAGTACCCCTTTCCATCATCAGAATTTAGTGTATAGGACGACGCCAACAGAGGCTTTGAAAGTTGGTCATTAGGAGGAAGATGAAGAGGACTGAGGGCTGACGACGAAATCCGTTTACCAAAAACTCTCCCTTTATCATACTAAGGCGTTTCGGGGAAGGGGTGGGGTGAACGAAGACTATTAAAAACTATTCTCGAAAAGCGCCTTGGTAAACAACATTCGTCAAGGTGCATTTTGAGAGGAGCTTAAAATTACGTAATCTGTTTACCGGAACAATTCACCACTGGTTGTTTGATGACGGAAATTCGTGCCGGTACAATTGATTGGAAAATCCTTAGTGACCGGGTGGTCTGTTTTTTATCGCATGGGATGAAATAGTTTCAGTGTTAAGCTGAGCGCACAGTTGTCTGATATCTTTATGTGGCACAAGCACGATTCTATTTTGGATTTCAGCTTCACACACAATCGAGCGGCCAAAATAGTCAACTGCAGACTTTGAGTTCGAACCACGCTATCGCCCATCTTCCCATTTTCTGAATTTCTCAGACACCCTTTGTATAGTCGCAGCCCCCTTTATCAAAGTTTAGTGTACATTTCTATAATCAACGAACAGAAAAGGAAGTAAAAGAAATTTTTTTTTCTAGGATGGAAAAGCATTCCACTGTAACTTCTTCCTTCTCAGTGGTACATATGCATCGCTCCGTTCATAGTTTGAACCCCTCACCCCCTCGATTTAAACTAACATCATTGATAATAATAATAATAATAATAATAATAATAATAATAGGTTTTCGCGTTCTACTTTTCAAAGTATTTGATTATGCGTAGAATGTTAGGTGTAGCCTAGCCCATTCGATTTTGTACAGGAACCGGGCAGGCTATTTATGGTCTCGGGTTTTGGATGATATTTAGTGGCATGCCAAGTTAGACGACGGTTTACCGTTTTTGTGTCAATCTCGAACACTTTTGCAGTCGTACNGTACTACTGGTAAGGGGCGAGCGGCTACATCACATACCAATTTTCCTCCGTCCTATTACTACCTCTTGCTCCTGCTTTCATTCCATGCTCCTTCCTTCTCGATGCTTCATGCACTCGATATTTCTCGCTTTCAACCCCCCCCATTTGTGTGTGTGTGTGTGTGTGACCCACGTTCAGGTTCGGGTTGACTCGTGCGCTTCTATTACGTCCGACCGAGGGCCGAATTACCGGTGCGACACGGCTCAGTCTATTGTTGAGCTCAATCGAGATGGCTGTGAACACATTGCGTTGGTGAGTTTTTCGTCTCTTTTATATTCTACTCTCCTTTGGGCGTTACGCTTTTTGGTCCGAGACGAAATTCCATTTT